TCTACTTATACTCGTAGTCATTATGTTGCCAAAAAACAAGTTAAAGAAATTATTTTTTCTGGGTGTAACAGTACTACTGTCACTGAGTATATATGCGGCATTTGTGATTCATAAACATGGATATTTTGCTATACTGCTATACATGTCCAAACAGCTGGTGAACTGTTTTCGATGAAGGTTGGTAAAGTGTCCATAGGTAAACAGATTGATGAAAAGTTTTTTAGAAAAACATAATTTCTTGAAATAATTATTATATTATAATGAATACTTTTTTTAGAAAAACATAATTCTGGAAATAATTATTTATCTACGTATAGTTACACTTTTTATCTACTCTAAATCCAATTCCGTATGGAGTCCACGCAGACGAAGTCGCAGGTACTAACTAGTAGGATACATATCCATCAAAATAGGTGCATGCATTAATATTTATTTTTATCTTTTCTACCATATTAAGTAAATACCTACTAACATCAAAATGAGATTTACAGCAGTACGATTTTTCTGAAAGAAGCAATTTTATCATGCCTGTTCATCGCCCTGCGCCACTTCTTTCTAATTCTTCTAGGTTTTGCACAGGGAATTTTTTTTCTGCAGCTAATGAGCCTGTATTTGTACACCTAAGTGCAACACAGAATTTGTGGATATAAAGTCTGACTCATTTTTTACCCATTTCTACGCAACGTTTGTAAATGGCACTAAGCGTGCGCGGAGGGCACAACGCTTTGTGGTGGCTAATTAGTGTAAAATATGACGTATCACTGAGTCACACGCTCCAACAACATAATTCTACACATAAGACACTGGTGACTTTGTCATTTTTACTTCCTGTGCCAAAACTGGAGAGGAAGTATTGTTACCGCGAAAAGTTTCTAAATCGAGATATTCTTTAGATGTTGTATAACATGTACGGCACTCATTTCCATCGGTCTGTCTATCTCTCGGTCGGTCTGTCAATCTGTTCGCTAATTTTATAGCCGCCTATTTCTTGAGAGGTATCGCGTGGATTTTGATGAAATTTTCATATAAGGTTACTATAATGCCAAAGATGAAACATCGTTGTAGTTTTTGAAAATTAGTCTAGTGGTGGCGGAACTAGAATAAAAATCTGATCATTTTCGGAAAACTTGTAGGGGTTGAAACTTGTGGGTTGTAGGGGGTAAGGAGTTGTAGATGTCATTGAAAAGCGGTAACAACGGGAAAATTAAATGATAAAACGAAGACTATAGTAACTCAAAAATCCTTGCTTTTGACTTACTGTATGGTGTCGATAGACTTTGTCAGGTTCTCTTTGGTGGAAGAATTTGGTATCTCAGTCATGCAACTATAGGCAAACCAGTAAATCTGCTGCGTCATATAGTAAGTATAATAGTGGCGGTTGCTCCCGCGAAAACTACATCAAATTGAGTTAATTTAGTCTTCGATGCAAAAAATCACGGAAAGGCTAACTTACTGTTAAACCTAATGTCTGACTTACTATGATTTTCGCGGAATCGTTTAAGGTAATAGCGAAAACGTTTCAAGTATCAGCTGTATGAAAAGGGCAGTTTTCATAGCGAACTAAAATGAATTCAAAAACCAAAATAATTCTGGCAGATGCAAAGAAGCTAACTGCAGTTGCTGAACCGTTAAATTCAGGCAAGTTTGGTTCATAAATAATGATGAACTCTTTTAACACAACAAAAAGGTTCAAACATAGCATCCTCTTCTGCACGCTATGCATTGGGATCTGGCGCATCACAGTCTGTTTCTCTCATGTCTGTGAATTAAAAAAGTTTAACAGAGAATTCAACTACTTCAAGTCCTCGGCTTTGCTAAGACGACACTCGCGTGTTTCCTTTTCATTCTTTCATCTTCAAGTCTGGACCTGATACAGACCTATATTATAGACCTATATCGTACTGATTAGGGCTTAAGAGCCATGTATGCGGCTGGTCGTGGCTCCATTAGTTTTAAATAAAAGGTAAAATCGGACTACGCTGATGATCTCACGATAGTAACATTAATTATCTCAGAACGAGACCGCAAAACAATAGGCTTTAGGAACTATCTTTGCTGTACACAAGCTTGCTTCCAGTAGATTTAAATGGTCTATCAGACCTATGTAAATCAAAAGCAAACAGTCTTAATAGCATTTCTGAGGCTTACCTGCTTTTCATTTTTCTCTAAAAGTTAAGGAAGATAAAAAAATAGAAAGAGGACATGATATTAACAGTGCTGAAAATACAGCAGTTGAGAACGACGATAGTGGAGAACACGATGATGAATATAATTTGAGTGACTCAGATTCGCATTAAAGAGCAAGTGTCCGTTTTTCTTTAATTGGTCCAACGAAAACTATAGTAAATTAACAAAACAAAAAACATTGTCATTTTCGCTAGGTTTGTATTGTAATACCATTCTACCTTCTACTCGTATATACATACAAGAATTACTGCAATGTGCAACATATTTTTTGATGAGATCGTCATTTTTCTGACAACAAAATTCATCAGAAAATCTTCTAATGCCCTCTCAGTTCAACCAAAACTTATACAATAATATAAAATAATAACAAATAATGTTTATTGGTTCAATTACAAAGTTTTTGTATAAATAATAATGGCAATGTTCAATAAACATAATATACCCAAAAAAGTGTACACTTGTGCTTGGGTTTTAACCGAAGTTGAAATATATTAATACAGCAAATTTTCTTTAAGTATAATAGTTAAATGTATAAATTTGCATCATTTTATGATTAAATAACATATAGGTTTTTAATGTCAACAAACTTATGGATTTGTAGCCTTGGTTGATTTAGGATCCATGATTTTAATTCAATTTTTAAACGTTTTATACATTTTATATGTTTGCAGAAATAATATTATAAAATTTTGAGCATAGAAAATACAATGATCTTTGGCTGATAGTTTTATTAAGTCTAGGAATTAGTGCAGAGGTTTCTTTGAATCGCGTTTGATGGTTGTGGCTGATAGAAAGTAACAATTTTGGATTTTTTGTTAAATATATTATTGTATGATAAAAATAAATTTGTCAGCAGTCGAAAAGCTGAGATTCATTGTAAAGATTTTCTGAGGGATTACATTTCTTTTTGTTCAACATAACTTTCAAAATCCACTTCTGCGTAATTTCAATCTTTTTATAATAATTATTCATGGCTCCCCCCATGCTAAGATAATTTGGCAAGGTTCTTAATAATTTTTGATGTGTAATACTATCGAATGCTTTGGTTAGGTCTACAAAAAGGCATGCTATTGACTTATTATTATCAACGTACTTGTAAATTTTGGTTGTTAACTGAATAAGTGCATCTTGACTTGATTTTGCTTCCTGGAATCCATATTGCTCTTCAGATATGGTTCAGGTTGTATTTTGCAATAAAATCTGAAAAGCGTTTTTTAAGAATTTGTTCGAAAATTTTTGAAATGTTTGTCTATACTGAAATTGGGCGATAATTACAAGGTTTCTGTTTATCTCCAGATTTAAATACAGGTTTTATTATTGCCTTTTTTAATTGGGTCGGCAATAGTCCTCTTTCCATGCAGGTGTTTATAAGATATGCTAATACTTTAGAAATTTTATAATTTATTTGTTTCAGAGTGTATGCGGTTATATTTTCAAATCCCGATGATTTTTTAACTTTCAGTCGCTTTATGATATGTTCAATTTCGTATAGATCGGTCTGTGTCAGATACAGGGAATTTTCGAATATGGTTTTCGTATATATAAGTTGTGTTTCATTTGAAATGTCTTTTGACAGATTCTCACCAATTTCAGAAAAATATTTACAAAATTCATTGCCTGTATCAATACCGCTTTTTGTAAGTCCCCCGTTTTCTTTTTGTATGGCAGGAATTTCTTGGCATTTCTGAGAATGTTGTATTTTTTCTATGAAATGCCACATTTTGGCGGAAGAATTTTCATGTTTATCAACTTGATTTTTAAAAAATTTAATTTAGCCTCTTTTATAATTGTGGTTAATTTATTTCTGTATAATTTAAATTCATTTAGAAGATTTAAATCGTGTGGAAATTTTTTTGTTTTTCTATACAGCTCAATTTTTCTGTTAACAGATGTTATAATTCCATTCGATATCCATGGCTGCCTTTAAATATTCTTTCGTGGAATCTTTATCCGATTTGTACATGAATTTATATGTTCTTGAAGCTGTAAGGTAAAAAGATCAAATGCCTTTTGAGGATCATCTTGATTATATATCTCTGACCAGTTTTCATCAGATAGTTTACAGTTCAACTTATTATAATCTATGTATGGTGATTTAACTGTTTCTATATCTACACATATATTTTTCTGAATTTTATGATCCTTAAATGTACCACCCATTTCTCCTGACCTTTAAATTGTTTTACTCCGTCTATGATATCTTCCAGTAACAGAAAACTTGTGAATCGAAGTTCTAATATTATCGCGAGCTAACACTTCCATCGTAGGTTGGAAGCTGCATGCTGTAAATGGTTGTAAATTCTTGCATATTTGGTGTCAGTGAAACACCTTTTATTATTAAGAAACTGTTGATATTAGTGATACTATGCACCTGTCAGACATAATGAATCACACATATTTTTCCTACATCTGCCATTTAAATAGAAATATGATTTGCTTTATATGGTTTGATATGCAGAGGTCTAAGATTCATCGTACCTGAGTGAAGCTCCTTAATCACGATTCGGTTTCGCCTTTTGAAACGATTTGACTCATCCCTTTTCCGTGACACCTACAACGAAGGTGCAGGAAGTATAGAGTCAATCTATTTGACTGCATCTTTTAAGATATTCAAAAACATTTTTCAGGTACTTTGACTATCATTTTAAGTGTGTTTCAAAAATTAGGAATCTCCCCCATTCGGTCAACCGTTGCAGAATATACCTCGTCGCGTGTAAAAGTAGTATTAGAGCCGCCTTGCGATCAACGGCTCATACGTAGAAGAAATTAATCTGACTTGGGAGTGACCGTACTACTGGTCAGTCTGTACACTTCACTTTCGACGCTGTTTCTCGCGTCGCGCGAGTAGCGTCGCTTGGCGTCACTAGACGTCGATCCTCGTGCCTCATTTCTATCCCGAAATGCAACTGACCTTTAGTAGGTTAGAATAAAGTATGCTCAGGTTTTCGTGTTGAAACATCTAGTCACAGCGTGATGGAGAAGGAAAAGACCTCGCATCAGATCATTGCCATCGTAGTGTGTAAGTAAACACGTTATTCGACCTTATGTCATAAAAACCTTATTAGATAAGATCTAACCTGTAAAATAATCATATTTGCAAACGTCTGATTATATGTACCAAAGTATTGTATGTAATTTAATATGCACAAAATCTGCCACTATAAAAATTATCTCTGACAGGAAGTCTAACCATGCTCATAAAGTGTTCCGAATCCGGTGCCCCTTTAGTTTCGAAGCATCGGCAAAAACTCTAATTACTAAGAAATAGCATCAAATAGTGTGATTCTGTACTTCCTGCGCAATTCTAGGCAGCTGGACTTTCTCTAAACATTATGTATAGTATCTGAGTCGACTTTTACTTTACGCTCCGGTATCCTAAGGCTGTAGACTAGAATGAATATCAGGGAAAGAACCTATTGTTGCTAAGGGAAATTATGGGCCTTGATTACATACAATATACAGGGTGATTCACAAGTCGTGACCAAAAATGAAGCATCATATACAGGACCACATTTTAAGGGGGGTTTTCTATGTAACATTTTTTCCTCGAGGGCTCCATTAAAAAGATGCGGGGGTTAAAGTTTAAAAATAAAAAACATTTTTTTCAATATCTTCAAAACCGTCAACTAGAATGAACTAAAATTTGGTATGTGGATTTACCTAAGTATTGTCCACATTCAAAAGTCTTTGCGCTGTACCTATAATGTGATTTAACCTGTTAAAATGTTTTGTAATTGTAATGTCCTTAATTATTTTATAATTATAAGTATTTTTACGGCATATTTGCTCAAACGCATATATGACCCTGAAATTGATATTGACAAGTCTTATATCATGTGACATGACAATAAACTATCTATCTATCTATCTTAAAATTGACGTGCACCAGTGGCAGAGATACAGGGGATTAGTGGCATTATGTTTTCAAATAAAAATAGTACGCCACTGTTTTTTTTTTCTAAACGCGCAATTTTTCGATTTTTACCTACAATGTGCTAAAAATAATTACTTTTGTGTTTTTTTCGTAAAATAAAAATAACACAAATTAGATCATTCGTGAAGAGCCGAAATACAGTTAGATTCAAAATAAAATAGGAGGCTTTGATACCAACTTGACGTTCCTTGGGAGTTTGTCAAAGTCATGTCGTGTACGGTTGTTATCGTTACTAATACCAATTTTTTTTTTTTTGTAAAAGTCATGTCAAAAGTTTCTTTTTCCATTTTTCAGTGTTGTGAAATGGAATTTATCAATGATGAATTCGCCAACGTTATTTTTGTGTACGGGCTCTGTAATGGAAAGGCTTTAGCGGCTTCTCGGGAGTATCAACGTAGATTTCCTGACACACACCAACCTACCCCAAAGGTTTTTACGCGTTCATTTCTAAGACTTCGGCTATTTGAAATTGCCAAACTTCTCGGAGTTAGAGGCCATGGTGTCCGGCATGCTGTTCAAGAGGAACTGGCAGTGATTAATATGGCGTTGGATGAACCTAGTACAAGTACTAGGCGGATTGCAGCCCAGTTACCATGTTCCCAAAGACTTGCCCAAGTTTTAAATCGGGAAGTTTTACATCCTTACCATCGGCAAATTCGGCAATATCTGCAACCCGACGACGAAGGGCAAAGGCGAAATTTTTTGTGTGATTACTGCCAATGCATAATCAAAAAAATGCCGATTTTATTGATTTGGTTTTGTGGTCAGATGAATCTCTTTTTACGAGGAGTGCAACCTTTAATTCTCTTAATGAACATAAGGTATGTATTTGGTCGTCAGAAAATCCCCGTTCTGTAAAAATCCAGTCGTTTCAACACAGATTTTCTAGAAATGTCTGTTGCGGCATTTTCAATGCCAATTGCCACAACGTTTAAATGCAAACTTATACTTAGCTTTTCTAGAGAATTACATAGATAATGTGTTAGATGCGAGAGTGCGAATGTAGTATCAGCATGACGGTGCCCACCGCATGTTCGTCGTGACAACCGCATGGTTAAATAGACAACGAGGGATTGGCAGAAATATAATAATAATAATAATAATATTTATTCACTCAATGTACAAAGATAACAAACAATATGAGTAAATAAATATAAAATCAAAACAGGCCCTATAGAAGGCATCGCCTGTACATGGACCAATAATTTAAGTTGAAACTGTAGAATGCAAATGACAAAAAAGGACAAAAATTAGCTACAGTAGATTATGTATTTAGTTGATGTTCGTATTTATGAGTTTATGAATTTCAGTCCTAGATATAGATTGTAGCCACTTTTTTAAATTTCTTTTGAAACAATTTCCGAAACGTAAATCTTTTAAGTCTTTAGGTATAATTTCATAAAATTTAGGCGCTAAATAGAGATATGATCGCTGCATTATAGATTTATGCGGTTGAGGAACTACTGTGCCACGAATTTTGTACCTGGTATAATGATTATGTTTAATTTTTTGGTCGGTGTTTACAAATTTATGGTAGTGAGTGATACTGTGTAAGAAATAAAGCTGTCTTATATCATACATTCGAACATCTGCGTATAATTTTTCAGTGGGATAGAGTTTCGGTTTTTTAAATATCATTTTTAGAATACTTTTTTGAAAAACATCTAAATTATAGATATGTGAGGAACATGCAGCTCCTCATGCTAATATACCATATGTGAGATGAGGCTCAATCAGTGCATGGTATAATGTTCGAAGATATTTTTCTGTCAATATATTCCCAAGGTATTTAATTTTGTAGGATACAAATCTAACTTTCTTTAAAATATAATTGACATGGATGTCCCATCGTAAGTGAGGATCCAAGACCACTCCAAGGTATTTTATGTTGGGCACTCTATTAATTTGCATTTTTTGATCATTAATATTGAAGGAGAAATTTGTGTAATTTGGCAGATGTCTAGCATAAGATCCAAATGGTAAAAAATGTGTTTTAGAGTAGTTAATGCTTAATTTTCTACTGTTAAACCACCGAATAATTTTGATAAAATCATTTTCAATTACATTTTTCAGATCAGACCAGTCAGTGCCTTCATATAATATTGCAGTATCATCTGCAAAACTAGTTACTTTGCCAACACAATTAATTTGGAAAATATCATTTAAATATATATTGAATAACAGCGGACCTAAGACAGTTCCTTGTGGGACACCACACTTAATATACATTTCTTTACTAAATGATCCTGATATCTGCACAGATTGTGGGCGATTTGACAAATAACTTTCGATCAGTGAGTACGCGTTTCCTCTGAAACCAATTCTCTCCAATGCTTCTAATAATAATTTGTGATTAACTGTGTCGAAAGCTTTCTTTAAATCAACAAAAATGCAGATTGAAGGGATTCTGTTATCAATATTTTGATGTATTTGATTTACAATTTTAGTTATTGCGTCCGATGTAGCCTTCCCTTCTGTAAATCCATATTGATTTTCACTTAAAATTTTGAATTTTGTGAGGTATCGAATCATTCTAGTAGATAAAACTTTTTCAAAAACCTTTGCTACACTGGATATTATTGATATTGGTCTATAGTTGTTAACATCTGTTTTTGTTCCTGATTTATGTATCGGTATTATATTACCTTTTTTTAAAATTGAGGAATATATGCCAGATTCAAAGCATTTGTTGATTAGGTAGAATTAGAATTGGATCTGTACATTCGCCTGCAAGGCCTTCTGATTTGAACCCCTAGATTTCTTTTTGTGGGGCGCTTTTAGACAACTAGTATATGCTTTTTTTTATGCTCCAACTACCACGAAGGCCTAAGACCTAAGCACCCATTGGGTACCGTGGGGCTATAGGGGGATACATGGGAAAGGGGGAACGCCACACGGACTCTGGCGAGGGAACACGTGTGCATGCAACATGCACACATTCTGGCTCCGCCTACGAGATCCGCCGGGTGGTACCTCCACGTTCGACAGTCATAAAACCTGAACAAATTAATACTGTTGAGTAGTTACAAGAAAGAATAGATACTGCGTTTTATCAAATTCAAGCCACAACAAATTTGGCGGAAATACGTTTTAAGCTTGGATTATCTAATATGTTTTTTTTTTACGAAATACAATGCACTCTAGGTAAAAGCACAAGAGAAATTATTTGTAGCAAATTGAATCTCCGCCACTGGTATACGTTAACTTTAAGTAAAGGGTTTTGAATGTGGACAATACTACTAAATCCACATACTAAATTTAAGTTCGTTCCAGTTGACGGTTTTGAAGATATTAAAAAAAATGTTTTTTTATTTTTAAACTTGAACACCCCGTATCTTTTTAATGAAGTTCTCGAGGAAAAAATGTTACATAGAAGACCACCTTGAAATACGGTGCTGTGTATGATGTTTCACTTTTGGTCGCGACTTGTATAGTACCTGAATCGCTTTCTTACTATTGACTGGCTATGGAAGTCCTTACAGCTGATGATGTCATATAATGAATATAATTGAAGAAAAAGTATTGTCAGCTTAATCTTTGTTTTCTTTTTTTTACTAATCGAGGACAATTTTTCTAGCCCTGGTATATTTCTTTGAGGATAAGTACTATAAATGGATGAGATTCTGCTTCCCACGAAATATCCTCATCTTCGCAGAAGACTGGTGAACGTCTATTCATTATTTCATACTTGCATTGTCACAGTATCTGACTATTTATATTTAATAAATTAATATTGCCCTGGTGGTCTGAAATGTTACCACCGCCGGGCGTCTTTGACTTTTCTCAGCTGTTCAGGTGACAAGTGAATTCTTCGCGTGGATGTTTGCCTGACAGCGGATATGCAGCACTTAATTCGTTTAAAAAACGTTTCTATCATTATAAGTCTTAAGGACAAACATACGGAAATTTGTACAGGGTAGCCGGTATGTAACTGACTGGTTTGTATCTTGAATATTTGTGAAATAAAATAAAATACGTAAATGCTTCTCATCTGAATCGTTTACTGATACGTAGAAATTATTTAGGAAAAATAATATCAGACAAATGTCCGCCTGTAGAACCCCTCTTGGTTACATTTTCCATCACATTTTGGTAGGTTTCGGGAGGAATATTTTCAATCGCTTCCGTAATATTGTTCTTCAGCTGCTCTACAGTATTTGATTTGTTGGCATAAACCCTACTTTTCAAAAATCCCATAAAAAAGTCAGGAGCCGATAAATCCGGTGACATTGATGGCAGTTGACATCACCAGATCGAGAAATTAAACGTCCTGGAAATATTGTTAGCCAAAGGTTCATTGTTTCCCTAGCTGTGTGACAAGTTGCTCCGTCCTGCTGGAACCACAATATTTGCAGGTTGAATTGTTAAAATTGAGGAGCCACCAGGGACAGTAAGAGAATTACAGGCAGCGTCTTCAAAGAAGTAAGGTCCAATTACAGCTCCATACCAAACACGGCACCAAACTGTGACTCGATAAGCATGTAATGGTCGTTGATGGATGACGCGAGGGTTCTCTAATGCAGAGATACGACAATTCTGCATATTAATAAATTTGTTCATATCGAAGTGGGCTTCATCGGTCATTATCAGTTGTCGGTAAAAATAGTTATTTTGCGTATTAAGCTGCAATATTGCACAACTGTATTGTCGGCGACTTTCATGGTCACTACGATGTAGTTCTTGGGTTAACTGAATTTTGTATGGCCACAAATGCAAGACTTTTTTATATATTGCTTATGACGTGCTGCGAATACCCAGTTCTTGAGAACGATGTCTGGTAGACGTCTCAGGGCGCTCCACTACACTTTAACGAACTCTCTCTCGTTTTCCGGGGTATGAACAGTTCGAACACGGCCCGACCTTGGCAGATCTTTAACTTCACCGGTTTCTTCAAATATCCGCAACAACAGACGAATGGTGTTAACACCGGGCACATTATTTCGACCGAAATATTGTCGTAACTTCCGAATCATTGCAACAATCGACTAATTATTTAAGTATGACGTTTTAACAATACGAACGCGTTGTGGGATCGCGTTTGAACAACTACTACGGCGCCACCCTGTATGTGTGAAATATGCCCGTCGAATTACTGGAGCTAGAGGTTTACAAATATATCACCGATAAACAAATGCGATACACCTATCTGCTACACTTCTAAAATTTTGAAAAATAAATCTCTTATCGCCTGTAGTTCCACCGCGATTGGACCGATTTTCAAAAACTACAAAGCTTTTTCATCCTTAGGATAGTAGTAACCTTCTGTGAAAATTTCATCAGTCCGAACAGTAATTTCCAAGTTATAGACGAGACAGGCTGACAGACAGGCCGACCGACAGACCGGTGGAAATTAGTGACATGGTTTTATATAACACTAAAAAAAAATATAATATCTCATTTTCGAAATTTTTTGCCAGTGGCATAGGAAGTACAAGAAGATCATAAGAAAGTTTCAAAAATGACAGGTGTTTCCAAGAGAATAATTATTTACCTCAAATCCGGTACCACTGAACTATAGAATTGTTTTACGGTTATATTCGATCCCAAACTACCTACTTGCACCAAGCTGCCTGTATGTTTGCATATAGCCAGCGATAACAAACTAGATTTTTAGCACCAAAAAGTCGCATAAGTTTGCAACGTTCACTGTATAATTAATAGTAGGTACATAACCAAAAGGGCCTGATACGATCAGAATTACTTCTGATTCGTGTTTAGCAACCCAACATGCGTACGGTAAGGGTCATTTCCCGGGAAAACCGGGTGCGTAGATCCAGAAATGAAAATTATTTTACCTCAAAATGGCAGCGACAAAAATTGATTCCTAGCTATGAATATCTTATACTGTAAAAGCGCATGCGCCAGCAATTTCGAACTTTTTGTTCTCACTCAGAACCAGAAACAGTTCCGAACGGAATCTGTTCGGACGGAGAACTGTAAGTTACGGAATCAGATCCATTTTCTGATGGTAATCTCGATCTGTGCATGCTCTATTCAGTTCAGAACTAGTTCGATGATTTGTTGGAACTAAGCTTAAATGGCTACATTCTTTTTAGCTTGCTTGTCAGCCTTCACCACAGGCATAATGTTCAGCTGGACGTCACCATTCTTGGTAAAAATCACCAAAGACAAACTGAATTACAACATAACCGAAGATCAAGCATCCTATTTCGCTGTCATACCACCCGCATCAATGGTGGTAGCAGCGATATTTTGTACGAGGCTCTCCGACATCATTGGGAGGAAGTATACCATAATGCTGACTGCTCTACCGTACACAACGTTTTGGATACTGACTGCCTTCTTCACCAATATCTACGTACTTTATGCTGCTAGAATGATAGCTGGGTTCGGGGATGCTATTGTGTTTACCTCTGTGCCAATGTACATAGGTAGGTATGAGCTATATTTTTCCATGACTATTACCAATAGGTCGAATTCTGACTTGGCGTCAAAATTGTGTCTTATGGCCCTTTCAACTAATATTCTGCAGTATCTGTTTTTTCTTGAACCATATACAGTGTATTCTTAATAAGTGTCTAACATTTCAGATACCAATTACTTAATATTATAGCACAGCTTAGATAACAATCAGCTATGAAATTCTCCTGTCACTGTCGAAGCGACCGCCATATCGGCGGAGAATGCCGAATGTAAATTCCCCCAGTACAACGATGAAAGAGGTTTTCGTGTTCAGCAGAAGCCGGTGTTGCCACGTATCATGCCAGCGGCACCAGATATTCTTTCAATCGTAAAATGATAATATTTCGATATGATGATAGTTTGTGTGAATCAATAATAAAAAGGAATATGTTTGTCCAAAAAGAAGCGGATGACAATTTATTCATGAAAAGTATGCACAATAAACGGAAAAATATTCGGTTTTGCTATCAATTCACTGCATTTTCAAGGTAAGCATTACTAAAAATCAATCAATCAGGAATTTCGGTGTCTTTGTCGCGGAAAAAAACGAAAGCACATGAGCACTTAAATGAGAGACTTAAGAAACATTGTTCATTAGTAAATCTAAGCCATTTTGCATGTATATTTTTTTATTCTTTGCTCATTCTAAACAAATTCATTTAAAAAATGTATGTGCTGTCATGTAATTATGAATAACCTTGTGGAGAGTGGCATATTTTCCAAGTAAGGAGCGTATAGTAATAATAATAATAATAATAATAACAATAATAATAATAATGTTTATTGATCTAACTACAAAGTTTTCAGATGAATAATAATGCTTACAATTTTCATAATTAACTTTTCTAGGCATTTAAAATATAAATAAATAATATATACTCAGTGACATTAGAAGTCTTACACCCAGAAAAAATAATTTCTTCAACTTGTTTTTTTTTTTGGCAACATAATGACTATATTTAAAGCATGCTGTGACAACAATGTCAGTTTTATCTTTGTTTTTGTTTACCTTTGTTTTAGTTTTTGTGAAGAAATCAGAGTCTGTGAGCTGAGTAGTACAGATATTCTTAGTTGTTACCATTTCATTTACTAGTGTTGAGCATAATATAATGCCTCAAGTTTGAAGACGTCCAAATTATCACCATGTTAGCGACTTTGACAGGGGTAAAATTGTTGAATATTGAGATGTTGGTTTGTCCTATAGGCGAAATTTGCCGTCGTGTTAATTGTACTGCAATGACGGTAATTCGTGTGTGTAGTATGTGAATAGAAACACGAAGGAGGCCAACTGGTCCACCGAGCCGTACCACAGAACGTTAAGATAGGCGCTTCTGACAACTAGCCCTACGAGACCGTTTTACTACTACGCGTCAGATCGCTGACCAGTGGCTTGGAGAAGAGCTTTGGACTTTTCTCATACCGTCCACGGTTAGTACTTCCTCTGACTGTGCACCGCTGTCGTCAACGTTGGAACTGGAGCAGAGAACGGCAACATTTGGAGGCAGAGTGACATAATATGACTGCTGCACGTTATGTTGATGATGTCCTACAAACAACTTTGCTGTAGTAACTAGAGGGTCGTCCACACGTCCTTTTTCAGGAGGACAACGCACGTCCATTATTGCTTGTCGTGCTATGGAGGTTCTTCAAGAAGCAAACGTTAATGTTTTGGCGTGGCCACCCCATTCATCGGATTTAAGTCCTATCGAACATGTATGGGATATATTGGGGAGCAGACTATCCACTTTGCACCATTCGACAAAAACTCTGCCACAGTTAATCCACGAATTTCGAGTTGCTTGGAGTAAGGTGCCACAACCAGACATCGATCATCTCATTTTGTCGATGCCTAGACGTATTCAGGAGTGTATTCAGCTGCGGGGTCGCCCAACACATTATTTTTTTTTCTTATTACTTGTCGATAAAATTTCGCGAGAATGTTATCGATTCATTCTTGATGTGAAACTACCTCATTGCCAAAAAATCAAGTTGAAGAAATTATTTTTTCCGAGTGTAACACTTCAAATGTCACTGAGTATAAATACTATCGACCGGTTACACATCAGAAGCTCGCAGTGTATGTAGAAGCATACTAGCTGAGGAGTAGTCAGAAGTGTCAGGTTTACAAAAGTAATTATTTTTCTGTTTATTGTTAATACTTCCACCAATACAAATTTTATTTTAAAACTTTTTCATAAACAAATAGTCTTCAATGCTTTGCCGCTTCTTTTTGGACAATCTTATTCCTTTTTATTATTGGTTCTCACAAACTACACCAAATCATATCGGAATACTATAATATTTACGCTAGCAGGGTACGTGGCAACACCGGTTGCTGCTGAGCACTAAAACCCCTTTCATCCTTGTACTGAGGAAATTTACATTCGGCATTCTCCGCCGAAATGGCGGTCGTTTTCGACAGTGACAGGAGAGTTTCATAGCTGATTGTTATCTAAGCTGTGGTTATAGCATGGGTCCCAAGGCTGTTGTATTCGAAATACAGGGTGATGAAGATATAATTTCCAAATCGGAAAAAATAATAAGTATATTCGAAGTATATCGAGGTATTGATTTTGTATTCCCAATATTAACAGCATGACTAATTTATATACAACCTCTACTAAAGAAGAAATGGCGTCAAATAGGGTGACCCTACACTTCCTACGCAACACCATCATCAATTCTCAAAGAAATAAGTTCAACACAAGTTGAGCCGTCTGAAAAAACCAGTTACGAACATGTACAACAGAGAAATTAAATTGATCAAGTTGGTGAAACAGGTCCATACAATTAGTCTATAGACATGTTTTCGGGCCCTACAGTAGTTACCGTCCATCTGGCAATGTTGCCCCTTCCCATATCGTCTGACGCAGCAGCGCCCTCCGAAACACCGCTGCAGTATGAATAGAACAATCAAGCAGATCGTTACGCCTGAGCCTGAGTCCAGATAGGAGAAGGAAACGATTAACGAAAACATTTCTCTTCCCACTCAAAGTTTTAACGACAAATTTTACACAAAACTTTATGATGTATGGAATATGGAAGTATATTAATAACTAGCATCAAAAAGTTGAAATACAGGGTTATCCAAATTAAGTGTCCACCATTAGTAACTTTGTTATTAGTGAAAATACAAAGTTGTTTGAATTAGCAAACTAGTAGCATTTTTAACGCTGGTAAAAATGAGAAATAAAAAAAAACAATTGAGAGTCGTTATTTTGATTTTTTTCAGTAAAATAACATTTTTTTTAAATGGAAACCCCTGTATATTATATTTTTTTCTGTTAAAGCATCAAATTTTAAACAAAAAAGTTCATAATGACTTTTCCGCTAAAGTCAAAAATAAAGTCAAAATAACGATAAATATTTTTAATTATTTGCAGTATTATAATATTAAGACGGCTATGAAAACAACATGGCGTTCGCGATTTGACAGCATTAAGATAAGCGACAAATTGTTAAACTGGACATACTCGCAACTAGAAGGCTTTGGAAAACAATGATAAAATCAAATAATGTCAAACATTAGTGTAAATACTTGTTTATAAGCTTTATTGTGTCATTAATTTAAAGAAAAATGTTCTCCCGTGAAGAAAAGTGTGATATGTTAGAATGCTATTTAGTGTGCAGAAAATCCTCCTTGAGAGCAAGAGAATACTACAGTGAATTATATCCCGCTCGCATTCAACCGTATGAACGATATTTTCTGAGACTTTATCGAAAATTTAGGGGCAACGAAAATGTTTTTGCTAAAACAAGGGCAAAAAAAGAATTCATAATAAGCGAGGCCACGGAAATTGCAGTTATTGGATATTTTGAAGTTTATCGTGAGAATTCAAAAGCAGATATTCTCAAGGACTCTAATTTCAGTTATGGTACTATTCAAAGGATTTTAAAAAAATACAAATTTATTCCGTAAAAGTACCGACCAGTTCAAACGCTTTTGGCAGGGGATCCAGAGAGAAGACTTGTTTTTTGCCATTGGTATCTTAGCTTCTGTCGCCAAAATGTAAATAACTTTCGTTACCTTTTATGGACAGATGAATCAAATTTTTCAAATTCTGGAATGTTTAATAGAAAAAACCACCATTATTGGTCAAGAGAAAATCTTTTGTTAGTACATCCAAGAGGCCCACAAGTCCGTTTCAGTTTCAACGTTTGGTGCGGTATAATTGGTTCAAAAATTGTTGGCCCGTTCTTTTATGAGGGAACCCTAACTGGTGAAAGATATGTGGAATTTATGTCAGAAATTCTGACTAATTTCTTAGACGAATTGGATCTTATAAGTAGACATCATCTGCATTTTCAGCAAGATGGCGCACCTGGTCACAACTCCAGAGGTACTTATCATTTTCTAAGTACTACTTTTAATGATCAGTGGATAGGAACAAATGGCCCAATACAGTGGCCTCCCAGATCACCAGATCTAAACCCACTTGATTACTTCTTGTGGGGTTACTTAAAGAACCAAATTTACAAGCGAAGGTACGATAACCTTGACGCGTTAAAGACTGCAGTTAGGGAAAAGATAACCCAGATAGATGGTAGGACCATACTTAAGACTGTTCGAGCAGTTGAAAAACGTGCCCAAAAATGTATTGAAGAACAAGGTGGTGTTTTCGAGCATCTTCTTTAAAAAAAATTGTTATTGTATTTTGTAAGATTATAAGTTGATGTTGAAAATAAAGTTTGTCGATACAATTTAATTGTTTCAGATTGGAGGCCATAACTTCAACAATTTGTAACCTAGGAGAAAAGTTATTGTAAGCTTTTTTGTTTAAAATTTGATGCTTTAACAGAAAAAAATATAATATACAGGGGTTTCCATTTAAAAAAATGTTATTTTACTGAAAAAAATCAAAATAACGACTCTCAATTGTTTTTTTTTATTTCTCATTTTTACCAGCGTTAAAAATGCTACTAGTTTGCTAATTCAAACAACTTTGTATTTTCACTAATAACAAAGTTACTAATGGTGGACACTTAATTTGGATAACCCTGTATGCCCTCTCCCACCCGTCTAAAACCCCTCACCCCCTAATTATATACGCCTGAATATTTATCAAAAATATTTTAGCAATTTTTGTTTTTTGTTTTAGTTTTTTGCCTTTTTCTCCGACGCCATTGGACCGTTATGCAAAAACTGCAATGCTTTTTCGTCCATGGCTTAGTAGTAACCAAGTTGAAAATTTCATCAAATCCGAGCAGTACTTTCCAAGTTAGCTGGGGCAAGGATTATCAGACTGTGTGTCGGAAATGAGTGACATGGTTTTTGGTGATGTACTTGTCATACCTATAACATCCAAAATACTTATTTTCGATTTTCTTTGCAATCACAATACTTCTTCGCCCAGTGGCGTAACAGGTAAAAAGAACATTATTTTCTACGCCATCAACTTTTTGGAAACGTCTATTGCATTTTTGAATAGAGTATCCATTTACATAAATCGTCCCACTTGAGAAATTTTACCACTTTACCACTTCTAAAGAAAAATTTATTTGAATATTAGTAGAATAAACTCTTCTCACCACAGCTTTATTTGAAGCGCATTCATGTTTTGTCCTTATTCAGCCTCATCAGGGTGGGAAAATTTGCAAGACCCTCTATCTCGAAACCGAACGCTCATCTTTAGTTTAGATGAACTGATTGTCTTAAAACAACCAAAGAAATCCACATGTAAAATATTAGACAGTTATTAAGGAACACCTTGTATAAATGGTGCCGAGAATCTGATATATAAATAGCTATAACAGGTCGTCAAAAACACACTACGCAGCAATAGACCAACCGTGTACAAGTTTTAAGCCCACGAAGCTTTTTGAGTTCAGATTCATAAAAAAAGGTTCTTCGAAAAATTAGCAGAACTGCGACTAGAGCTATTTCGGAAAAAATGTACTACTCCTAAGACTAGAGACACCTCATATATTCAAATCCATCAAAGCCGTTTAAGCTCTAGCCTGTAAAATACAAATGTCATAGTTGATCCTTTTCATTCAAATTCGCCATTTTGTTTTTTTTAAGATTCTAGTATACCCACTGCCACTAGCACTGCCACGAAAAATAGAGAAACACCTCGGATTCATCAAGTTAAGTAGCTCGATATTTTCTTAAACTTGAAAACAAAATTAGCTGGAACGTTGATGATTGACTTGACTTGATTTTTTATTGTTCTACTTGACTTGAGGTCAAGCAATTTCAAACTACTAGATATTTGATGGCAAATTACGTATACATGTTTGTTCTAGTAAAGGCCTTCAGTAATATTTATTTCTACAACCGATGAACCGTATTTTATATTTGAATTCAAATGATCACGAGCAGTAGAGAAGGCATGAAAATGTATTTCCAAATCTAGATTTAATGTCCAGAGATTTTTTTATCGACACTTGCAGTGTCAGCATTCATTGAAAACGAGGTTTCTAGGGCTGCACACGGTACCCCGCAGCAGATTAACAGATAAATCCGAAAGAACTCTGATGTATCTTAACGCGCGGTTAGCGAATAAAAAGCTTATTCAGAATTTTTCATTTTTTTGAATCAGCTGGCCTTTTTTCTATTTGGGTTTACACTGTTATCTTTCTTTTATTTATTATACGATGAACAAAATATTTTGTTCAATATGTATTGTTTTCTCTGTGACTTGTCACAAAGTCTTTCCGGTGTGTATTTATAATCTTCTCGTATTTATATTACAAAAATTATCAAGTAACATTAAGACTACTTGAATTTTCAAGTACTTGACCAAAAAAGTATTTGATTTGATTTACATTGCTAATATCTAATATGTTACTTGAGCCTAACTTTATTTCAAGTCAAGTAGCTTGAAAATCAAGTCAAGTAGTGAATCCTTACCTGGTATATCAAAACCCATTTTGGACTATAATCCATGAAATAGACTTTTTTATCCACATACACATATAACTCACACGCGCAGAACATAACCCTCCTTCTGAGGCAGTCAAAGATGTTGATGGAAATTTATATATGTTATAAAATATTTAAATGCAATAATTACATAGAAGCCATGAGTTATTTTAACGCGGAAAGCATCGCTTATAGACCGTGATCCTATTGGATTGCTTATTAACCCGTCCACTGTCCAAAAAATAAGTATAGGAGGAGATGCTTTCTGAAAAACAGTGTTTATTTTTGTCGGAGTTCAGGAGAAGTTATATAATAGCGTTTCTGGAGACAACAGATATTATGTTGGTCGTAGATGTCTTCACATTTGGTAAAATTCTCGCAATAAAACGAAGTGGTACAAGGTTTCAATATGAAAATGTATGTTTTCTTTAATTAATAAAACCATCGACTGATTAACTGCAATAGTATCTTATTTCTAGGTGAAATATCTACACCAATAGTTCGAGGCACATGGGGCAATCTAGTCGCCTTAGGAATATTTCTCGGCCAATTTGTGATCCACATCGTAGGAGCATATTTCACAGTGGTCCAGACTGCCTACATTTTCTTACCCCTAGGACCAATTTTCCTCATATTAATGCTATTTGTGCCAGAATCACCATACTACTTCATCATAAAGCACAGATATGATGACGCTACGAAGTCCTTAAGTATTTTAAAAGGCAAAGAAAATGTTGATGAAGACATAGATCACATCAAACAAGCCATTGAGAGACAAATGTTACACGCCGCTACATGGAAAGAGCTCTTCTTTGTTAAGATGAACAGGAACGCTTTGCTAGCAGGAATTTTTTTAAGAGTATCACAACAACTTGGCGGGGTAGCAACTTTCAATATTTACACACAGTTGATTTTTGAAAAAGCTGGAACCAGCTTGCTACCAGAAGACTGCTCCATCATCTACACAGGAATCTGCTTCATATTTATGGCCATTGGGAGCTTCGTAGGGGATAGATTTGGCAGGAAGAAGGCTTATATCACATCATGCTTCACTTGTGGAATTGTTCTACTGTCAGAAGCATCTTACTTCTATTTGGACCAAAACATTCCAAACGCGGATGTTCGTAGGTTTAATTGGTTCCCACTAGCAGCAATGGTCGCATATGTTATTTGCTCAGCGTTTGGTTTGGGTACCATACCGACATTAATGTTAGGGGAACTATTTTCAGCTAGTATCAAGACTAAAGGACTTACGATATTGACGTTTGTGTTTGGTATAATGCTTTTCGTATCAAATAACTTGTTTTACTTGTTAAAGCAGTATGTGGGTATGTATGGTCCATTTTTATGTTTTGGACTTTGTTGTTTGGTGAGTTCTGTGATGTCGTTTTTCGTTGTACCAGAGACTAGTGGGAAGAGTTTAGAGCAGATACAAAATTCCATGGAAATAGAGCAGGAAGGGCAAAAAGTTTGACAGGTGCGTTAGACCATTAGAAAGCGTTCTCACCGAAGCAATAACCAAAACCGCAACACTACTCGGCACATGTATTCAAATACAAGCGTTTTCAAAAAAGCGACGGCAACCTGTCTGGTTGCTCAATGGTTGATCATAGTGTCGTTGTTAGTCGGCTTGAAGTTGCCCACCGGTTGATGAAATGTGTCATCTATGAGTATGGTCGTCATTCTCACACTTCAGCTAACATTCCGATAGTGTCCTCAAAAGCACTAATAACCCGATAAGAGAAACTGAAACAAAAAGCACGAAATAGCTGCCCATGATGGGCTGTCTGTTGTCGGATGAACGAAAGCAGTATGTTTCAGTTGTTCAATGGTGAGTAGATCAGATCTACTATACTGCCAGAATCGTTACCTTTCAGCGGTCACAGTGGTAACACGGTTATCACACGTGAACTGAGATCTTTGCAGTTCCAACCGATAGTTGCTATTGCTGCTCCATCTCATATTTTTGTTCTATGAACTGATTCATTTGAAGCAGCAGCCTCAACAACCTTCAAGAGCAGCTATAGTTGATACAAGAAATGTGACAATCAAGATAATACTGTACAAGTTTTCATCAGACTCAAGAAATATGATTACGTTCAAGATGATACTTTCAGTAAATCGTTCATTGCACATTATATTTGTTATGCATAATGAGTTTTTGATAAATAAAAAAAATATCATTACCGAGATATTTGGGAAAACTAAAATTTGTGCTAATCATTTTTATTTTTTTCTGACGTTATTTTAAGAAATATCAAAAAACTAATGAAACTTTCCATTTTCACTTCATAGGCACATGATGATGTTTTCAAATTTTGTGCCCGGCGTTTCGTTTTTGAGAAACCATCAACAACTTTATTTTTTTATATAAAAAGTGCACCCTATATCTAATAGCATTTTTTATACGAACTCAATGATGTGTTTTATGTTACATTTATTGTCTTGATTTTAAAGGAAAATGCGCCTTTTCTGATTTTTTTTTTATTTTTTAAGTAACGTAAATACCTGTCACCGAGTATTGTTATTATTGTGTGTTGTTAATATTGCTTTATTATCGTTAAAGATGCCAGGCCGTCATTTAAGCAAGGAGGAAATGTCCGACCCCAATAGCATTAAATATTTATTAAATATTTAAAAAAAATGTTTGTTAAATATTTGTAGCAACAGATTTTTTAATATTTAATAAATATATATCTTATATATTTATAATATATTAATTATAGTTATTTGTAGTATATTTAATTCATATATTTTTGCGATATTTTTTCCAAATAACCAGAAAATATGAGGAAAGATTTTTAAATATCAATTTGATATTTGGATGAAATATCTTATATTTTTCGTCAATATGTATGGATTTTCAAACATTAATCTGATACATATTTTCAATGTATATAGAGAATTCTTCATTGGTTATTTTAGCAAAATCTGTAGGAATGCTTTTATAAAATTGGGTTTATAAAGAAAATTCATTCTAGATATAATGGTTTAATTTGCTAGAAAAATATTATTGAAAAAACATTCTAAGCCTCTTGCAAATCCAATCCTCTGAAAAAAAACAAACTTACTGATTATGAAGTATCATTGAAAACATAAGCTGCTTTCCAGTGTATTTATGGGAATATAAAATGTAGTGGAACAATATTGGTGCTGAGCACTGCTGAGTTACTCCGAGTAGTTCAACTTGGTCACTGAAAAGCAGCTCTATAAAGCACCATTTTCATCCTATGATAGTTCCGAGATTCGGTTAATTTTTAAGAAAATTTGGTTTATTTTAGATATCTTGATGAAAAATGTCAATGGGCACAACTTGATCCTTTGACAAAGTATAGATTTTAAAAAATAGACCACTTACTGATTTTGTTGAAATTTAAGTAGTAAAGGGGCTAATTTGGCCATAACGATTTTGTGATTTTATATAATAATTCAAGTGACGGAAATATAGTATTTAGACTTTTAAAATTTTGGAACGTCGTTGTTGAATTTTACAATAGTTAAGCTGATTTGCCCCCTACTACGACAAAAATATTGACATTAATTGGGATATTGAAAAAAAGCATTTTTGATGTATCTCGATCAAGTTGCGATTATATGACTTTTCTTTGGGGTGTTATGAATATAATTTTCGTATCCATTCCCAGATAAATCCACCAATCCCAAATAACTGTTACACTTCAAGGCTCGTTATTTAAGGTCTTGTAAATACCTTTATACTCAACTGGCACAATAATGTTTACTAGTCAGATAAATTAAGCTATGTAATTATCGAAAAACTTACTCTTACTCAAAATGGATGCCGGCAAACGGGTCGGCTCAGGTCGGCTCAGGTCGGCTTTCCATTATGCTATTGGTCGCTTGGAGTCACAAGCACATGCGCCGTAACCGACAATATTTTATGAACATTTTCTAAATAATGGAGATTTAATATTTTCCATTGATTGAAAAGTAAATATTTAATGAATATTATAAAAGAAATATTGTATTTAAAATATTTAAAAGATATTGAATAAATATTTAATATAAATGTTATATTCCAAATATTTATTAAATATTTGTTGAAGAAAACAAATATTTAAGTAAGATAAAAATATTAATAAATACTGAATGAATATTATAAAAATACTGCAGAAATGTATGTGTAATAAATTTGCTGAAGGAAGGCAGCCAATTAAGTTCATTTTCTAGAGTTGTGTCGAAATTTTAATGAGAAAAATAATTTTTCAATTATGGTAAATAACCTTTTTTTTTCATTGAGGGAAAACTTCAATTGCTATGGTGAAAAAAATTTAATAGATTGGGGAATCTTAAATAAAACATGCATACTTCTAGATTGTTTTTCAAAATTAACATCTTATCATGCATATAAAAATTCTTTAATTTTGCAGTAAGTTTTATTTTTGTATTTTTTTTTTTTTTTTGTCGCACTGACTCTAAGAATCATTATTTTTCTCGGACAATAAACAGTTATTTATTATACAAGGGAAAAAGGTACTAGATTTCAGCTAAAATCTAGTATTTTTCCCGTTATAATACACATTTTTTTTCTGTGACGGGAAAAAACAACGATTTAATATTCAAAAATCATATTATTACAATATTTGAGTCAGAAAATTATCGATGTGAAATTTGAATTTTGAAATTAGTAAGTATGTTATACTTATAGCGACAATATTAGACCTGGGTTGCTAACGAAACTTTTAAAGTAATCAAATAGCTGTCGATTTAATTTTGTGATTTGATTTAAAAATTGTGTAAAAAGTTATTTTTAATACTATCAAGTAAAAAATGTCTGATTCCGAGTTTTCTTTGACTCCACCGGAATTAGTAGAAGTAGCCAAAGTAGCGCCACAAAAATTATTGCCAGCTAAATCGCGGAAAATTTACGAAACAATATCCGGGAAAAAAGTACTCAGTTTTCCCCGGGGAAAAAAGTAATTTCATAAAAAGTGACATTTTGTTACCTGTCAACAGAGATAAAATGTCAAACCTTTACCCCGTCACAGAAAAAAGGCATTTTTTTCACCTAAGCAATGACCGGCAACGAAAATAATTTCCTGTCATTTCTGACATTCAAAAGTCCATTGAGTTTTATTAGTAATGATATTGAGAATGATTCCATAGCGTACATTGCTTAGGTAAAAAAAATACTTTTTTTTGTTTAAATATTAATGTTTGACCGCGAATATTTCGAGAAAGTCTGAAGTCTACGTCAAAGTATATTTAATAAAAAGTATTTAGAATGTCTCGCAAAACACAAATATCGAATAAAATATATAACGTTCCATAAAAAAACAAAAGTTGCTATCAGTTTCTGAAAAGCTGTAAATTTGACAACATCGCGGATATCATCAGCGGATCCGCCGTGGCTTCGAACCTAAATCCACCAATTTTTTAAAAAAAATAGTTGAGTCTTTCGTCAGATATTCGATGCGCTCCGAACTTTTGTTACAGTCGGGCACACTCCGGATGGACTTGTGAAGCTTATAATTATGTACACACATTCCGTACTCCTGTTTTCCGGTATTGGTTTTTGTGCGTACAACAGGTGCATACTGGTAGATCCGCCATTACTGCATCACTGGACAAGCAATAAGGAAACCAAAGCTCGTCTGTTTTTAATTAAATAGTATATGAGTATATTAAATTAAGATGCCAAGTGATGAGACTTCAAGTACAGGGTAAAACTGGAAAATATTCACAGTCTTATAAACAAGAATGGGGAGAGGAGTTTCCAGGATGGTTGCAAAAGAGTTTGAAGAGCGACCAGAATGCTAATTGTATCGGTTGTAATAAAGAAGTTAATTTGTTTAGGAAAAAAAGCTGTGTTATGTGCACGTATGTGCGGAATACAAAACTTTACTTTTTCCGTAGACGGTGCCGCATGACGCAAACGCAAAGGCCTTTGATATACCGCTGATGTTGTGACGGCCCTGATTTTTTCATCCTACCGATTTGTGTCCCTTAATATTCCGAATTTCAACCACACTATCCACCGATTTCATCTTTTTTGGGGCGGCATCACTGATTATAGTCTACAAGCCGTTCGCAAATTTTTAGATGCATCAACGCGTACTTATATGACACGATAAAAACTAGTCAAATCTTACGTATTTTAGTGATAAACAGCAGATTTGCCGTGTTTGATGTTAAGAATTGACTAGTTTTTGACGTAGGTATATCAGTACGCGATCTAACCAAAACTCTGCGGCCTGCTCTTGGACTGATTTACAAAATAAAACAGCGATTTATGAGCCGACCGCCCTTGATAAGCGTGTTTGTCTCATAGGTGGCTTCGCTAAGCTTATACCGAGCGGAATGGAGCTTACTTCCTCTCGCTGTTTTTAAAGGTTACGTCAAAAAGTCATATGAAATAACTAAACATAACATCCCAATGCCAAGCTACCTAGATGACTGGCAACCATGTCAAATACACGTACAATTGGTCAAATAAGCAATTTGAGGTTAGAAAATATTCGAACTTCAAGCTGACGTTCCTCTTTTGTTACTAAACTAAATCGTGTGATATTCCGCGTAGGGTACTAAAAGTGAAATGTCTTGTGTTTACATGTCGCGGAGAGCATTCACTAAAAGTGTGATTTATTGAATGAAATAACTCCCACCATGAATAACGGCCCAAACAAATGTAAATTTAAACTAAAAATGCTCACATCTCTGATCTCTCTCTCTCTCTCTCTCTCTCTCTCTCTTTCTATAACTACTCTGGTAATACTGTATATTCTTTGTGATGTGAAATAAGAAAACCATACTTTACGACTAAAACAGCATTTTTTATTCATAAAAACATGTCCAACATTCAACAACCATATCCAAGAATCCAAAAGAAATTATAGTTTCTAAAAAATACCAGCAGCCACGGGCTTAAAGAATCTACTTCCGGTGAATAAACAGCCTTCAGGACCGCAGGACTTATCCATAGTGTTCCACAAGCCATTATTGACGACTTGGTTCATCCTGGCTGTCTTCAGCTGTTCAAGAAGTTGAGCCCTCTGCATTTTCTGAGCAACCTGTTCAAAAACATTTCCTACTTTTTAGTTTTAAACAACCAGTAACTTTTGTGTGCCATTTATCGCAGTTGATTTTCAATTTTTCTTGGCAATGAAATGATTCCAATTTATACTCGTATGTCAAAGTTCTTTTATATGGGTTACCTCTGACTAGATTTTTATTTGAAGCAACATTTGATTAGTATCCTCTACTCAAGATACGTGGCATCGAGTGTAGGACTATTTTTGCTAGATAAAAATGATAGTAAGACGTGACAAACCTAGTTTTTGTGATTGCATCTGCCTGAACACATTTTAAAAAAATCAGAATCTAGGCTAATTTTTTGTTTACTTAGAATGCGAGAAGATCTCCAAAAGAGGGATAAATTTGCTGATCGGACATTTAATTTGAAACTATAGGCCAGTGGTCGCCAACCCGTCAATCGCAAGCTACCGGTAGCTCGCAAAGGCAATTCTGGTGGCTCACAACATATTTTAATGAGGTGTAAAAATCATAGAAGCTTTTGTAAATTTTGTAGATTCTCATAATAAACGCAAGCAGGGGCACAACGCGGTGAGCGATCTGTTCGAGAACGATCTCGATTACTTTGAACGGAATAAATACGCAAGGCTCGGCGACAGTGCGCTCAGTTTAAAACTGAACAGCACAAAGTCCAGCGGTTGGGTTAGACCTGGCCTGCAATTAAAACAATTATGAACAGTGCTAAGAAGATGAAGACATACCATTTCCTTTCGGAATGGGATGAACAATATTTCTTTGCAAAAGTTAAAGGTAAAAATGTATGTATGAAATACATCTGTTTCCGTTGCTAAAAAAGGGGATATCAAGAGGCACTATAAAACTGTACATTCGAATTTTGAAAAATAATCCCCATTACGTTCTGCAACCAGAACGGAAAAACTGAGACAATTAAAAAATCAGTTAATTGGACAACAGACAATGTTTTTAAAAACGATCGACAAAGGTAAAGCTATAACTGAAGCATCATACCGGGTGTCCCAGATAATTACACAAAAGAAGAAACCTTATGAAGACAGGGAAAAGATAAAACTTGCGTTTTTAGAAGCTTCAGATTCATTAATTGCCAACTTTAGAAATAAAGACGAAATAGTGTCTGTTATAAAATCTATGCAACTTTCTGCTAATACAGAGAAGCGACGAGTAGAAGTAATGCGCAGTGATATAGTTTTACAATTGAGAAATGACTTCGATGACTGTGCTTATTTTTCACTGCAGCTGGATGAATCAACAGATGTCCTTGGCACCTCTCAGATGGCTGTCTTTTTAGTGATTTTACGATTAAAGAAGATTTTTTGAATTTAGTCTCACTAAAAGAACAGACTACTGGGCAGGGCATGTTTTCTTCTTTTAAAAATATTATTTCTTCTGAGAAAATTTCAATATCGAAAATGGTAGGCGCTCCAGCTATGGTGGGTCGTGATAAGCATCTCGTGGAGTTATGTCGTAAAGATGAAAGTTTTTCGCAATTCCTTTGCTGCCACTACATTATCAATCAGCAAGCATTATGTGGACATTTTCTTAAACTAAACAACGTTATGAAATTGGTAGTAAAAATTGAGTTTTGGGAACAAAACTTAATCGAAGGCGATACCAGATATTTTTCTGTTCTTTCAGAAAAGATCTCTCAAATTCCATTATATGACAGTAAATATCATGTAGAAATAGTCTCTAACTTGAAGGATAACTACAAAAATCGTTTCAAGGATTTCAACGAAATTGCTGTAGTGGCGCAATTTGTTGTTCATGGAAATTGACATCCAACAGTTTGCAACTTCTGTTACGCAGACTTTTAGCAAAGACGTCGCTGCGACAAAAATGGAAGTGATTGTGTTTCAAAATGATTTACCTTTAAAATCATTAGTCTAAAATACAAAATGTATCTGCCCTTTAGTAAGTAAAGGAAAATATTCAGTTTTATATCATGTTGCCTTGATAGTAAAAGCGTTATTTAGTTCAACCTATTTGCGTGAATCTTATTTTTCAAATTTGAAGTTTATTATAAACAAATACCTTAATTGACTTACAGATGAATATTTGGGTAATTGTCCAATGGCAGTATCAAATTATACTCCAAACATTAAAAACATTGTCAGTGAGTCTGAGTTTCAGGCTTCTCATTGATCACGCATTTTTTATCTCGACATGTTTTTGTTTAAAATAGTGCGTTGCTTTTTTATTTTTGGTTACCTTTATTAAATCGTATGTGACATGCCATTGTAGCTGACGAATTTTTTGTTTGTTTTTCAAACACCTACGATTGGTAGGAATGGATGTAGTTATGTAGTATGCATTAGTTATTAGTTTATTAGTATGTATTAGTATTAGTAAAATAATCACATGTGTGTCGCATACGTATCATTTCATTTAAGCTGGCTTACATTGCTTACGGCTAGGTAGCTCACTGTTTATTCCAAAATTATCAAAGTAGCTCAACACACTGAAAAGGTTGGCGACCACTGCTATAGGCGTACAGCCAGTAAAACGTAGTAATTCAAAATACATCTTGCATTCCCCTCAAATACTTTATGCTGCTTCTGACATAACTAACAAGAATTAATTCGGAATTAACATATCTTCGGGCTCTAAGAAACAACAAATGTCAACTCACATCCACAAGAGCTCGCTGTTCTTCCAACATAGCCTGTTCTTCAATAGCTTGCTGGGTGAGCTTAGCTTCCTGAGTCAAGATGCGTTCTTGCTGCAATCGCTGTTGTTCGTTCAAGATTTGTTGCTGCTGCATGAACTGAGCGTTTTGGATTTCCAGCTGCTTTTGAAGCTGTTTCTGGACCTCCACCTTCCTGATTTCGTCTTCGACCAAACACTCCGCACCAACGCAGTTAGACGCGGTGCTAGAGAAGCAGGCTCCACCAATACAGCTATAGAAAAATTCGTGAGGAAGGAGTAAACTGGGCGAAAATACAATGTGATGATTCTAATTTAAGATTATATGTGCCTGTCAAAAGAAAGGATTCGTCCCATGAGCGTTATCCCATCCACTGCTTTTGTTGCTTTGATATTTCAGCACAATTAGACAATATACAAACATTTGTACGGAATTTTCTGTCGACAACTTATTGCATTCAGCTTTTACAACCAAATTTTAGAAATAATAATCATGAGGGTTTTTAATTCTATGAATTCTGTAATTACAAGATCGCATTCCTGGATCAAATTTAAGAAGAAAAGTTCACATCAGTTTTTATTGTGAGCTCGGTTGATAACTCCGTTATTACATAGAGAAAAAAAATGAATACAAAAATTGTAGCCAACCATATGCTCCTCACCTGGATAATATTTTTACAAATTACTTAAACGGAAAGATCTACGTTTTATTGCCGATTCGAATAGACCCTTTCAAACGGAGCAGGTTGATGTAACATACTATAGAGCTTTATTTCTAAATTGTTGAGTTATTGGACATTCTGGTTCAAGTCTGGTTTTATTGCTGCAAGTTGTTCAAGGGGGTTTTCAAAACATGGAAGCATAAAATGGGTACACCAATTTTTGAGGGTAAAATTTTTATTCGAAAACAAAGAATGAAAAAACGTGTTTTTTGGGATTCAATCGAAAGTGTTCACATGAACGAAAACAAACAAGATTTTTAGGTATTTATGAGACCTATAAAATGAGACCACACCTGAAGAAATCTGACTAATAGCAAAACAGTTATGGCCCAACACCGAGGCAAACTGCAGGCTTTGGAGCTTGTTGGTATGCGACGATCGTTTCTCGCAGATGTTTGAAATTCTTCAAATTCATGCTTCTAAATAACCATGACAAAATTGGAGTAGATTGGTCAAGTAGTAATTTTAAATTGATTATCCCAAAACACCTGTTTTCCGGCCTTCACTACTAGTTTATTGAGCATTTTATAGCAAAATACACTAGCTTACCTTGCCGATATGAATCGCAAATCATTCCGGAAGATAAATGCTATTTTTATGCAAAAAAGGATGGGTTACGTTTTTTCTTCTAAACAAATTCCAACATTCCGTATTTCTGAGTAACTCGCAACAAAATATGATAGACACATCCGCTTTGTTTTGAAATGTGTATAGTGACATATGTTTTTCGAATATCGTAGCGCATTTGTTCAATTACTCACAAATGTTTGAATTTTTTTAGAACGTAACCTTTGTTTTTTGCTTAAAAATAACATTTATCTTTCGGAATGGTAAACACGTGTATTTTGCTATTAAATGCTCTTTGAACGAACCCTGTATATTGCTCAATAAACTAGTAGTGATGGCCGGAAAACAGGTGTTTTGTGATAAATGATTAGAAATCCAATTTTGTTGTTTTTATTAAGAAGTATTAATCCCACGGATATGAAGAATTTCAAGTAGTTGCGTGAAATTATCGTCGCATTACCAAGAAGTGTGGAAACCTGCATTTTGCCTCGTTTTTCGACCATAACATTTTTGCTATTAGTCGGCTCTTTTTACGTGTGGTCTCATTTTGTAGGTCTCTTAAATACCTAAAAATCTTTAATCAAAAGTTTTTTCGTTTCTGTCAACACTTTCGATTGAATCCCAAAAAACACTTTTTGGGTGTATCCGTTTTGTGCGTCCATATTTTAAATACCCCCTTGAACAACTTGCACCAATAAAACCAGACTTTACAATTATTTCGGGGAAATTTGCTAATATGATTAGACTAATATAGGGTGGTCAAGAACACAAAATGAACGATTCCTTAAATTTTTCAAATAGAATACCCTGTATATTTTCACTATTTTCGACTCCCCTTTCCACATTTTTATTTGATATAATGTCTATGGGAGTGCGTACGAGTGATTTTCGAGTAACAGTTAACCTTTTTGTAAATCGGTTACGAAGATAAATGAAAAAGATTTGAATAACTTTGAACATAAAAATATTTAGTTAGTAACGGCAGATGGTTAAAATTTTTGTATTTTCATTATAAATTAAACCTACATAACCTTAACCAATAAAGTCGGAAAGTCAAGAAGATGTGAATGTATTTTTGATAACTCATAAACCAGTTGTACAAATCCCCATGTCAGGAAAAAGCGTGCGAAAAGGGGAATCAAAAAGTGCGAAAATCTATTTGAAATTTTTTCAAAATCGTTCATTTTGCGTTCTTGACCTCCCTGAATATGCTAACCGAAAAATTGCGAAAACAAGTAGACAAAGGTAAAGTATGGGGTCATAAATTTCTTTGACTATAGTTTTAGTTCTCTAGCTATAATGCAGGTGCGAGTTGTCAAAGTTGAATGTTTTTTCACACTGTAGAAATAAAAATGATTTCCAAGCAAAGAGCATACTATATCATGCATAATAACGGAGTAATCTACCGAGCCCAAACTAAAATCTCACCCTATATATAGACATGTGTCCTAAAAAGCATGGTTTTAAGATACAGGGTGTCAAAGTTTAAACAAACTTTTTAATGAATATTTTAAAGATCATTACGCCGATTTTGTTCAATCTGGCAGCGTTCTTCTTTTCAATAAGTCACTTAAGTTAGCATCAACTAGAATACCTCTGGCGTCTCAGGGAGCAGTCTCACGAATAACATTGACAAAAAAATATACGTCATTAAGTAAAAAAATATTTGTATGATTATTTAATGATGCAACTTTTTTGTCTTTCCGAAACTCTTCGTACAATACTTCTTTTTAGAAGAAAAAAATGAAAACTACACTGCTTGTCGAAAAATTGTTCTATTGTTATGAACATTTTTTTTCAAACGTTGACACTCTGAATCTTGAAAACCATATTTTTAAGAGTTATGTTTGTATGAACGTTTCATCAAACATCAAAATGAAGTTTGCTTCAAATGATATCGCTTCTTTAGCTAAAACTTTACATTCTGTTACTGCCATCTACAGTATAATCTAAATCAGATTTGTTTATAGTCTAATAGAATAGAAGAATTCTGAGAACAGAATAATCATGCTAGAAGAAAATTTCTTGGTATTTCCAATGACGTCAATTGCTCTAGCGCTCAAAGGCAAGTCAGCAATTGCAAAAGCATCCCTGATAGAACCGCCGTATAAAAAGCAAGTGGAACATTTGACTCAAAAAGTTTGCAATACAAAAAGGCATTATTTAAGGTCTATGGAGATACTACAAATCCTATATTTGAACACCCTATTTCCGACTGCCATTATATGTAGACGCGTACGTACTTTGCCCCATTGGAACTAATATTTGTGCAATCTTATGCAAAATAGTGTACAGTCATCTCGAAAGATGGAACAGCTTCTCCAAGCAACATCATCTATGTTTCATATGAACGAAAAAGCAATCTTACCTGTTACTGCCAATCAAGTTGAACAATCCACCAGCACCACCAGCAAGCCTTCCAATCCCAAACGGCCTTGAACTGAAACCTGCATTCAGAGCAATGGCAGCCGCAGTAGGGTCCACGATGACGGCCCCTCGAGCTATAATGGCTATGCAGGAGAAGAGAACAACGGTTGCAGGGTTCATTTTGTGATTGAATTCTTTTGTCTTTGATGAGTGTGTGAAACTGTGACTTCGAGAGGGATGCGCTCACTTTTTATACGCTGCCTTATCTGGACTTGTCGATAATGGTATTTCTTTATGAAGGCATTTAATGTACATTTTTATTGGTTTGTTTTGCATTAACTGATTGTTTTTTTAAAGGAAAAAATAATTGAGATTTGCGAGAATAGACAATAAGTATTACTTGTAAATAAAAAAGGAATATCCACAGAATATTGATGAAATCATTGTTCGTCATTTTCAATCCTCAGACACGACCATAAAATCTCACGATTCACGACAAAATTGGAAATTTGGCCTTGTAAAGTCATATAAAAGATTTCGAGATTTCTTGTACAAGCATTTTTTAAATTCCCAGCAGCAGTAGATCACGGAGGTCTTAATCTGGCATGAACACATCTCATCAATCGCGGCAGCTGCTGGGAAAAAGCTAGATGATTCGATTAGGGCTAAGAAGTACTTTTCTCCACATACCCTCTTCATTCTGTACAAGACCTAGATGAGATCTAGATTCCCAAGTACTACGATACTGTTGAGAAGGTATGTCGGAATGATCGATGACTTTTCTGTCGCGGACAGTCTCGGGACTCCCGACAGGCCGGCGGCAATCTGGTTCTCTTAAACAGCTACCTATGTCAACGGGCTTTGATCCTCAGAGCTCTCCTCCATGATGCCGCCACGTAATGAGCCTGTCTGTGTTGTGTCGAACTTCGTACATCTATAACTGGCCACTACGATTGCTTCTTTATCCCCAGGATGTCGAAATTGTGGAATAATCTGCCTGAGGAGGCTTTTCCCAGTTCTACTAACCATAGGCAATTTAAAAATCGGATTAACGACGTATCTTCAAGCTTCTTATAGCAGCAGCGATGCCCTAGTATTTAGGCTTTTGCCTACGCGGCTGCTTCGGTATGAAAAATTAATATTCCTATAAGCTTTTCAGGATTTTTACATTGAAACATGTGCGAAGGCAGAAAACTAAATACCGGGGCACCGCGACTGCCATATATCCGATTTTTGAACTGCCTAAGGGTAACAGAACTGGGGCAAACCTCCACGGGCAGATTGATCCACAATGTAAGAAGTTCGACAGAATTCGATTGGGAGGCAAAAGCCTGCCACAGTTTCCATACTTCACGTGGTAGTAAAAAATGGGATCACTTTAAAATGGTATTGTTGATCATAGGTAATGATTTATGGAGTTATCCCCACATGAAGACATGTTGCATCCTGACACGTAAACAAAGGATGATGCGAGGTTTTAATACGAATTTTCAAACTTCCCTCCTTCGACTTCAAAACCATCAGGCTGTTGAAAAATGTAAGGTATCGTTTTTGAAAAAAAATTTATTCTCTGCTAAAAAGGATAGTAGTCGTCTTTATATGCTAGGTTGTTAGTTTACCCACTTTGAGAGAAAATATTAAATGTACCTTTACTCTATTTCTCGTAACCTGTTCAGTATAAGGCAAATTTTATAGAAGCAAAATGATTATGAATTTGATTCCCTATAAAATTATTCCTATTACTTATTTACCTAGAATAGATAATGTCGATCAAACGTGTTTATCAAAATGGTGACAAATGCCCTATCATGACGCCAATTTGAACTCATCAATAGGAAACAACAATGTAACGATACCCGAACAAAGTTTGCTATTGCATAAATTATAGCCAAAAATTACTTAAATCCTGACCTAGTAACTGACAATAAAAGTAGGAACATGACCGCGAGTTCAATATATCTGTTTTCATGAAAAGTCTTTAGAATTAGCATGAATGAAGATAAAAAATGATATATTCATATCATGTAGTTGCACTATCGATTCAACTCGTTGTGGTCTGATGCAACAAAAAACAGATGTTAATTCATCGGATCATTGGCATTTTAATTGAATAATAATTGCTCGAGATGATAATCCTAATCTTTCATTTTCTATACGAGCCATCAATGATTTAAGAAATAGAAATATACATCTCCAAATATGTTCAAGAGAAATAAGAACAGTTAGAGGTACTAACTATGAATCCCTCAGCATACTACCCCCAAAATTTTGTCAAATTCGACCAAAAATTGGAAGATTGGTTCTCAAATCATCAAAAGAAGTCAAGAAGTAAAAGTAGTCAAGGGTCAATTTTTTTAATTCACAAGAGATCACATTATCAAGCAGACAAATTTTTCACACAAGTTTAGCTTGTTCCTCGATTCTGTTTCAAATAACGTACTGAAAAGCAAGCATTGTCCTTCTTACTGACTGAACAAATATCGTCTTCTATAAAAAAATAGTACAAAAAAGTCAATAGCCCTAGTTCATTTTGTTACTGTTTATTAGCATAAATAAAACATCACCCAGCTAACGCAAAACAACCCGATAAAAATGAACATCAAACGTCTTCATAAAGAAATAAATTATCGACAAACCCAGATAAGTCCGTGTATAAAAAGTAAGCGCATCCCTCTCGAAAGCACAATATGACACATTCGTCAAAGACAATCAAGTCCAATCGCAAAATGAACCCAGCAACCATTGTCCTGTTCTCCTGCATGGCTATTATGGCCCAAGCAGCCGTTATCGTGGACCCTACTACAGCCGCCATTGCTTTGAATGGAGGTGTCGGTTCAAAACCGTTTGGGATTGGAAGGTTTGCTGATGATGCTGCTGGGTTGTTCAATTTGATTGGCAGGAACAGGTGAGATTACATTTTTTGTATAGGTCGTAGCTTCTTAGAGAATTGGCTTCTTAGCTAAGAAACCGGTCACTTAGCTAAGTAGCGTTACTTAGACTAATGCGTTTGTAGGTATGCACGGCCCTTTTTTCTATAAAGCTAAATAAACCAGCCTTTTAGAAAAATTCCGAGTATTTTTGACTATAAAACTGAAATCTCTAACTACAGGTGGCCGATATGTAACTGACTGGTTTATATCTTGAATATTTGTGAAATAAAATGAAATAAGTGCATTTTTTTTCATCTTAATCTTGTATTGAAACTTATAAATTATATATGAAAAATAATATCAGGCAAATGTCCGCCTCTAGACGCCGCGTTAACCTGAGCCCTCTTGATTACATTTTCTATCACTTTTTGGTAGGTTTCGGGAGGAATATTTTCAATCGCTTCCGTAATATGGTTTTTCAGCTGCTCTACAGTACTTGATTTGTTGGCATATTTTTCAAAAATCCCCATAAAAAAATCAGGAGCCGTTAAATCCGGTGACCTTGGTGGCCAGTTGACATCACCAAATCGAGAAATTAAACGTCCGGAAAATTTTGTTAGTAAAAATTGTTTCCCTAGCTGGGTGACAAGTTGCTCCGTCCTGCTGGAACTACATGTTTTGCAGGTTAAATTGTAGGATTTGAGGAGCCAGAAAGTTTTGCTCCATATGTATAATGAGCCAGTGGCGGCTCGTGAGGTAGTGCCACGGTGCCATGGCACTACCTTGTCTTCTTCAAAAAGAATATTTTTTTCAATCTTCAATGTTTTACTTTATTTTCTGCTTTTTCATTTTTTTTTTTGGTATAAATTATATGAAGTGACAACACTGACAACGTGACAACACCGCAAGCACCCGAACCACGCGAGACGGAAAGCACGCCTTGACCTTGACGTCATCAACTTGTGCCAATTTTGGGCCGGCCCAAATAAAAAGAGAGAAATTTTACTAGCATCGCATACGAGCGACAGAGATAACGCTACCCTACACATTTTTATATGAGGTGAATAGCGAAAGACAAGTATAATTTGTGCCAGGCACATCATCAGTCGTAATTCGTTATCAAGTGATATCGGCGGTGTTTTTGTTCGGTCGGTCGTTTCGTTATGATTACGTCTAGTGCTGATTTCGGTCTTTTTTACCTGAAAAGTGAAAAATACCTTTTTTGTTTTAGTACGTCTAGTGTTAATGAACTACTCTGTTTTGTGATCATATTTTTTACTGTTTTATTAAAACTAGTGAAAATGAATAAAATCGGGATATTAAAAAACTCATTTAGTGGTTTTTCGCTGGATCAAAAACTGCAAATTAAAGAATTAGGACGGCCAATACCCGATTTAAAAATTGAGAAACAAAGTGGTAGCGGACAAAAATCGCGCTGTCGCAAATTTAATAAAAATGTGTACGATAAAAACAGCTGGATATGTGGTTGTGAAGAAACGAATAAACTATTTTGTTTTGTATGTGTTCTATTTGGAGGTGACGAGACTTGGTCAAAAAAAGGTACAGACGATCTTATACATATATGGGATAAAATGAAGACCCACGAAAAATCTAAAGTCCATATGAATAATGTTTTTAGCTTTTCTATTCTTGGTAAATTAAATATAAGGACTCAACTCAATTCGGCTTATCGCAATGATCTAATTAAACATAATAATCAAGTGGATAAGAATCGATATGTCTTGAATAAAATTATTAATTGTATAAGGTTTTGTGGAGCATTTGAGTTAGCCTTAAGGGGTCACGATGAAAAGGAAAATTCGGAAAACAGAGGCATATTTAAGGAGCTGGTGAATTTTAGCGCCGAATTAGACAACGAATTGAAAGTTCATATTCAAAGTGCCAAACTTTTCAAGGGTACCTCAAAAACAACTCAAAACGAGCTTCTTGAGTGCATGCTAGATGTTTATCATGAAGAAGTTAAGAAGGAGATTGCAAATTCTCCTTTTGTTGCAGTAATTGCCGATGAAACGACTGACGTAGCCTGTGAATTTCAGTTAGTTATTATTTTCAGATATTTGTGTAAAGAACAACCAGTTGAGAGATTTTGGAGATTTTACGTCCCCGACGGACACGATGCCAAATCAATCGCTGCATGCGTTTTAAATGTTGTAAATCCATTACTAGATCAAAATCCAAACAAATTAATAGCTCAAAGCTATGATGGTGCATCTGTTATGAGTGGTGAATTGAATGGCGTTCAAAAAATTATTAAGGAAACTTATCCACTTGCAAATTATGTTCATTGCTATGCACACCAGTTAAATCTAATTATGACAAGCGCATGCTCTGTCAATAAGCAGGCTAGAATATTTTTCCATAATTTATCTGGATTGTGTTCTTTTTTTTCGACGTCTCCTCAAAGAACAAAAATTTTGGATGAAATAGTTAATTGCAGATTGCCAAGATCTTCCCAAACACGTTGGAATTTTCAGTCACGAGGTGTTCATACAGTTTATGAAAATAGGAAAGACCTGATTGAAGTTATGGACAATATAGAAAGTACTTCACGCGATTCTTCGTCGATTAATCAAGCCAGTGGGTACAAATTAAAGCTGCAAGATACAAATTTTGTATTTTGGCTAAGTATATTCCATAAAATAATGCCACATGTTGAAATTGTCTTTAACCAATTACAAAAAGTATGCACCGATTCTGTTAAGGTCAAAAATGATTTAGAGAATTTTGAAGCAGCAATTCAAACTATACGAGAACAAATGGATAGCATTATTGACGAGATTGAACGAGTGCAGAGAGAAACTGATGAACCGGCAAGAAAAAAAAGGCAAGTTGAAGAAGGCAGCAAAAAACGGGAAGCGTTAGAAATATGCGATGCAGTATTATCGCAAATAAGAACAAGATTTAACTTTTCTGGACATTTAGTTGCTTCTAATTTATTTGTGTCTGAAAAGTTTTCTGTTTATAAATATCAGTTTCCTGAAGCACATTTAAATGACACATGCACACAATTTTCATTTTTAGACAAAAACAGGCTTAAAACTGAGTTACAAGTATTATATCAGAGAGAAGAATTGAGTACTACTTCTGGAGCTGTTCCACTATCCATTTTATTGAACGAGGAAGGATTAAATTGTACGTTTCAAGAAACTCTTAAGCTCTTAAGTATTTTAATCACTATACCGATGTCAACATCTGAAGCAGAACGCTCTTTTTCAATGCTGAAACGGATTAAAACTTTCCTCAGAAACACAATGAAGGAAGAAAGGCTTAGTGCTTTAGGAATGCTGTCTGCAGAAAAACATTTTGTTAGTGGCATTGAAAATTTTAATAATAAGGTAATCGAAAACTTTGCTACCAAAAAAGAAAGAAGAATGGACTTCATGTATAGAAAACTTTGAAGTTATAGGTACTTCTCCACACTTGTTTTATAATTTGGTGCGCGTGTGTAAATAGTTTTATTTTTGTTTTTTTTTGGACATATAGATTTATTGAACCTCAAGAACTTTGACCACTAACTATCAGGGGTAAGTTATAAGTTATTCTTTACAATTTTGAATCGATTCAAAATTATGGCTTCCATTCTGGCACTACCTCACTGAATTGGCACGAGTCGCCACTGTAATGAGCTCCATACGAAAGACCGCACCATTCTGTGACGAGGATGTAGTAGTCGTTGAGGGATTACCCGAGGGTTATCTAATGCCTAGATATGACAGTTCTGCTTGGGTTAACTGAATTTTGAATGGCCGTAAATGCAAGTCTTTTTTAAAATAGTGCATAATGACATGCGACGAATACCCAGTTCTTGAGAACGATGTCTAGTAGACGTCTCAGGGCCCTCCACTACACTTTCACGAACTCTCTCGATATTTTCCGGAGTTCGAACAGTTCGAACACGGCCCTACCTTGGCAAGTCTTTAACTTCACCTGTTCAAATTTTCGCACCAACTAAGGAATGGTGTTGACACTGAGCAAATTATTTCGACCGAAATCTTACCGTAACTTCCGAATCGTTGCAACAATCGACTCATTATTTAAGTAAAACGTTTTAACAACACGGACGCGTTGTGGGATCGTGTAGCGCTTCATGATCAATTGGACACATGTGCTTTAAGCAACTACTACGACACCACCTACTGAAATGCGTGCATCAAAAATGGCGCGAGTTTAAATCAGTCAGTTATATATTGTCCTCCCTGTGCTTGGACTAATGACGTCCTCTGGACCCGTCCATTTTCTATCTGGCTGAAACGAGACCAGCTTTACAGAAAATGCAACATATTCTTCTATGAAGCAAAGACCATCAGTTTCTTAGTTTTACTAGGGTGAATCAGCACTGTTGAATCAATTTTGACGTAAATTTGCACGATGCTAATGTTACCTAAGAGTGGTCTTGAACTAGTCGTATCATAAAAAAAAGCATTATTCTGTATTTTACCATCGTCAACGGCTTTTAAACTAGATATTGAATTGTTTTACCACTTGCAGAAAATAATTTGCTATTCAAAGGATAACTATTTTGAAAATCAATATTTTTCCGGTTGCCAAGTGCTGAAATTGAATATGAAACTTCACCTTATAAGATCCAAAAGAGTTTTTTAGGCTTAGATCTTAAATTTTCTTTACTTGGAAGGCTAACTAACAGAGGAGGTGGGCTTTCGATTTTCACAAACTGTACAAATTAACTGATGTTTTATATAAAATATTGAATTGATTTTATTGTATACATTGTTCACTAGGTTGTTCTCGTATTGACTAATTCCTCCTGGCTTTTTAGCTAAGTAACTGGTGGTTTCAGTCTTTTAGAAAAATAGATTTCATGATCTAAGAAGCTGGGCTCATCTCAGCGACATAGAAAGTGGGCCCATAGAACGTTATTAGGCTAAGTGGCTGGCGATTTCAGCTTTATAGAAAAAAATACGCGGATTTCTTTCAAAAGGTTGGTTTATTCATTTTTATAGAAAAAAGAGGTGGGCACCTACAAATTCATTAGTCTAAGTAGCGCTACTTTGCTAAGTGGCCGGTTTCTTGGCTAAGAAGCCAATTCTCTAAGAAGGTACGGCATATACATAAATGACAAATAGATGAATTTGCGGAATTGTTCCATCTTTTGAAGTAGTTGTATACCCCTCAGCATAAAGTTGCAAAAATAATAACCCCATTGGGGTAACGTATGTGTTTTTCATCATATCTATTATCCATCAGATTTTGATTGAATTTGGTAATTCTTGTTATTCAGTTTAATAATTGAAGGGATGTGGCAATAAGGTACCTACTCCACCTTTAAATAAAAAAACATATTTCTTTCTAAAAGCACCCGCGGTGTAGATATACTATATGTCCAAAGTTAATTTTTTTGATAATACACTGATGTTATGTTGCTATGATTTCTGAATGGAGTTTTTGAATAGCCACGATATCCCAAGCAGAAATTGGTCGATGATTCTGGATTCAGTTCAGACGACAATGTGAAGGACAGTCACTACCGTCCAACTGATAGCAGTTATGATACTGACTCTGAGCGAGTAACTGAGGCTTATTACTTTACTGCCGTTATAGATGTGACTTACGTAGAAAATATATTTTTTGTACCTGCCATTTTTTGAAAATTGTATATATTCCTGTATCTTAAAAGTGTATAGACCTACCTCACTCCTTCAATTTTGTTACAAGAGCATTATTTGCTCTCAGAGGTGCGAAGCATGTAGCCGCTACCCCTACTCTTTAAAGTTTAACCGCCGCTAAGACCCCCCCTCCCCCTGTTCAAGTATCAACATGAGCAAGAGCAATGAGTTGAATAACACTTATTTAACGAATCTTGTAGTTTGATAAGGTGTATAGACCCATTTGTTATACTACAGCAGATATAATAAATAATAAGTACCATCAGCATGTACCATCAACATGTACCATCACGTTGTATTTTTGCGAAGTGTACTGAAGTTCCTCACTCATTTTTCTACAGATGCATTGGAGGGGTATGCTCCCCAAACGCAGTCTCCAATTGCATTGGTGCAGAATGTGACTTGGTTGAAGACCAAGTCAGGAAAGTGGTAGTCCAGAAGCAGCTTCAAAAGCTACAAGCCATCCAGAACGTACAGATGATTGAGCAAAACCAACTGAAAAACGAACAAGAGAGTCTGCAGGAGGTACGCATGTTGGCTCAGGAAGCTGGTCTCCAGCAGCAGGTTGCTAATCAACAAGCTCAGTTGCAGGAACAAGCTGCATTTGTTGATGTAAGTTGTTTCTCTGTGCCTGTATTCTAGAATCAGATCATTTCCTTCCAGGGATTGGGACTATCTAGAGCTGAATCGCTCCAACTCCAAATTTTACCACGAAAAGATTCTCAAAAGGTGCAGGTAGACAGAGTGACAAACAGATAGACCGACGGAAAGTGGTGACATGGTTTTTGGTGATGTAGATGTATATAAGATTAAAAAACAGATCGTTTACCTCGGCGTTGAAAGTGGAAATAAGACTCATTTTTACCGATCTTTTGTTTTACATTTCCTTTAAATCCGTGTCAAGGAAAATCCTGGACACTGGAAATAACGTCATTTATTTTTCTTTGTCATCAGTTAAGGGCCAAATAATACTACGATCTTTTTTTGTATAGATTACCCAGCAGTTGCACAAAGTCCAGCTTCTCGACCAACTGAGGGCAGCTCAGATCAAAATCAACCAGGCAGCCAGCAGTATCTTATGGAACCCCGTAAGAGGAGTCTGTGGACCTACAGGTTGTTTCCTGACAAAGAAAACTCTGGTTGACCCAAGGATTGCTCGTGTCTTCCAAAGACCCTTCTGCGATTTCTGTTAATTTTTTACAGTGATTATCAATGTTTGACATCAAATGTATGTTTTTATGCTGGTGAATAAAAATATTCGAAGTATATTTATTAAAAGCAACATCCATTGCACCATTAGAACTTGAGGGAAATTGTAATAATTCTAATAGCGGATCCATGATGATGAAAGGTTGGAAAATCTCGAAACTGGAGATACTACAGACCAAAATATGTGAATTGACCTAAACATACCTTAGTCCAAAAGTTGATAATTTGCGAGATACAGGGTGTCAAAGTTACAATTTCGTTTTCTATTTTTCCTTATTGTTTGATAAGTATTTCAGATTTTGGCTTAAAACTCGGTATAGGGAGGTTTTCTAGTATAAGAAACAATAATCCGTTATTTTTTATGGCCAAACTTACAGCACTGTTTTGGTAAATAACTTATCACAACTTTCTTGTGCTACCCTGTATACAACAACTGACCGAAAACTATTATTTTCTCGTATTTCCACAACAAAACAGGTTTACTTGTTAGAAGTGTCTAAAGCTAACAGTTTTCGAAATATTTGTTTTTAAAGGTTCGAATGCATTATTTGTACCATGATGATAAAACATTTTTATAATATAATAATCATATTGCTTTGAATAATATCTTAGTAGCGTTGCTATGGTTTCTAATGCTTATCATAATATTGCTTTAAACTTCATGAATAATTTTAAGTTGACAATAAGTTGTTAAACATCATGGAGTATACGACATGAATATTCTGATATGCATTTAATGTACGGATTGGCAAGATTTAATGCTTTAAAAGCACGGAGATTGTGCGCTGACAGATTCCCCAATAGACATCTGCCTAAGTCAAAGACTTTCCAACGAATCGATCAGCGGTTACGAGAATCTGGTAAGAAATGATTATAGCCTTATTTTGAGTAGTAAAAACCATTTGGATTTTAGATTTCCCAACCTTTCGCTGTATATATATATACAGGGTGTAAAGTTAGTAGTGGATCAACGGAAGTCAGGTGATAGAGAGCCTCAAAGCCTATCGAATGAACCCATATATGTGTGGTCCGAAATTTTATAGTTCATGAGATATTTGCAATTTTGTGATATTTCTAAGAATACCGGATAATAAACATTCAATAGCAATTACAACTAAACCATTAGGTTTAGGGCTGTGATTTTTTTCTGAGATGAGCTAAATGGTTGGTCTTAGCAATGGTTATGTCACTTTTTAACAGAGCTAATTATAAATCAACACAAGAATTCTTAAATTCTTTTTTTTTGTGAAAAATCTCTTCCATCCCTCAACTTTGGAGGGCGGTAAAAAAAAATAAGGTTGTATTTCATTATTCATTTTATTGAAAAAACTATTCCAATCCATGAAGAATGAACCTTAAAAATTTCAGCTTGCTACGATAAGTACCTAAAAAATATGTATGTTTGACGCAGGTGGGTATCTATACATACATGTATACAAGAAATTCTATTTTACGAGCTACAGTCCAAACGACTTGATGCATTCTGACATATGAGGTATTGTTAGATTCGTTCCAGCAGTACGAGTGACACTGTGTGTATTAACATTTTGTATAATCAAAATCGCGGATTTTTCACGCAAATAGACAAATCAGCTTAATGAGCTTGGGCATTCAACTCGACATTCCAGGTGCGGGAGCGTTCAATCTTCGGTCCGACCCAAATTAATAAGTTAGGCAATGGTCCAGCGCGGAATTTGAATCTAACGTTTGGCATCTGACAAGAATCATGTCATATTCTCCGCGAGATTATGCAGAAATGCATTTCTATTATAGTGCTGCCCTAGGAAATGCTCGAGCAGCTGCTCGCATGTATCGGGAGTATGTGGTTAGAAGAGGTGGACCACAACCGGCGGTATATCTCGACTTTCGCGTTTTTCTACGCGTCCATAATGCATATATGGAGGGCCGCATACTAGATACTCATCGTCAGCTAGGAGCACCGAGGATACGCCCAGAAGAAATAGAAGATATAATAGAAGTATCCGAGAGAGATCCCTCTATAAGCACAAGAGCCATTACCCGAAGCAGAAGCATATCCCATACTTCAGTGCACACATTACTACCATATACAAGTACAAGAATTGCTTCCAAGCGACTATGCACAACGGGTTGAATTTTGTGAGAATATGTTGAGAAGGTGCAAATAGGATGAAACTGTTTTCGACAGCATCTTATGGACAGATGAATCCAACATTAACAGAAATGGAATATTCAAAATCCACACGCTATTCGCCGACACAGCTTTCAGCGTCAGTTCGGCGTCAATTTATGGACTGGAGTACTCAACAAAAAATTAATTGGACCATATGAATTGTCCGCCAGGTTGAACAATCAGTCATATTTTGCTTTTCTACAAAGCAGTTTGTATGAGCTGCTAGAGGATGTGCCTTTGGACGTTGGAAGCCGCATGTATTTTCAATGCGATGGTGCCCCATGCCACTTTGCACGCTATGTACGGCATTACTTAGACAGTGCCTTTCCTGGGCGTTGGATAGGTAGAGGTGGTCACATACCATGGCCTCCAAGGTCACCCGATTTAAATCCTCCAGATTTTCCTTTAAGGGGGTTTTTGAGGGGATAATCTATACATCCGAATACTTATACAAATGTGAACCAGCTGCGCCAGAAAATTGATGAATCAAAAATAAAAATTATGGAAAACGCAAATTCATTTCAAAGACTTAAGGGCAATTTTATTGGAAGGTGTCGCTTGTGTATAGAAAATAATAGAGGAGATTTCGAATATGTTCTTCAAAAGTTAGTTAAATTAAATTATCTTCTACGTTCGTTGGTAAATCGCCATTAAGAGCTGCTAAACACAATAGGTTCTGTGCTAGTAGGTTGTAAGGATTCTATTACGTTTCTTACATTTGTCGCATCACAACAACGAATGTGACATAATCATTCTAGCAAGCTGTAATTTTCAGGGTTTATTCTACATGGATTGAAATAGTTTTTACAATAAAATAAATAATGAAATATAACCTCATTTGTTTTACCGCCCTCCAAAGTTGAGGGTTGGAAGAGATTTTTCACAAAAAAAAGAATTTAAGATTTTGGCGTTGATTTCTAATAAGCCGTCAAAAAGTGACATAACCATTGCTAAAACTGACCATTTAGCTCATTTCAGACAAAAATCATAGCCATAAACCTAATGGTTTCGTTGTAATTGCGATTGAAGGTTCATTAACCCGTTTTTTTTTTAGGAATTTCACAAAGTTGCAAATATCTCCTGAACTATAAAATTTCGGACCACACATAAGGGGTTCATTCGATAGGTTTTGAGGCCCTCTATCTCCTGACTTTCGTTGATCCACCACTAACTTTACACCCTTATATTTATATATACAGGGTGTTCCTTAATGATATGCAAATATTTAAGGGTGTGAATCTACATGAAAAATTAATGTTAGTTTGCTTTATAAACGATGGTCCAAAAATGTTTCCTTACAAACACTCGGGGTGTTGAAGTTTTAGGAAAAAAATGCAAATTAATTAATATTTTCAGAACCCCTTTAGATATTTCACTGCTATTTAGTACGTAGTGAAAGTTTATAATAAAGTTGCATATTTCTCAATGTAAAAATAACTTTTAGCTTTAACAGTGGCGTGGGTACGGGTATTGACTTGACAATGATTTTACGCCAAATAAAAATTATTTTTGAATTCCCCGTTCAATTTAAAACAAATGATCTCTCTTGAATTGTTTTTCTTCGATGCGCCATTTTTGAGTAAAAAAATAAAAACCGTTCTATTGTCCGAAAAATTAATTTAATAATTGAAGAATGCAAAAAATATCTAGTTGCTCTGGAATATGTCACTGGCTTTTGACATCTGACAAGTCTCTGTTATTCAGATCTGTTCGCTGTGACATCTTCTTCATTATTTAGTTTTTACAATCTTGTTAATAATGGTGAATTATTCAAATCCAGAAATGGCGGAAATGCATTACGAATAAGGCCTTACCGACGGTAATGGTGAGCAAGCTAGACAGATTTATCACCAGTGATATCCCGATCGTGCTTTGCCAGATAGTCGAACCTTGTCTAATATTCGTTGTTATCTTGTTGAAGCTGGTTCTGTCCGAAAAGGAACATCTGAAGGTAGACCTCTAAGTGTGAGAACACCTGAAATTGAGGAAGCAGTGCTGCACGAAGTCGAAGAACATCCTGAAACGAGTACGAGGAAGATCGCTAGACACTTAAATATTTGCCATCAAATTGGAGAATTTTAGTGGATTTTTTGTTATATCCATATTTTAAGCGTAAGGGCATTACTTATCATTGATTTTCCAAGGCGTGTGACCTAAAATCCGCAATTTGAGTCAACGATTCTGTTCACGGACGAAGCTAATTTTTCTCGAAATGCCATTCAGAATTTCCACAATAATCATTTGTGGGCAGAAGAAAATCTCTATGCCGTAACCGAAACCCATTTCCAACACCAATTTTCGGTTAACGTATGAGCAGGAATTATTGGCAACCACTTTATTGGCCCATTCTTCTTGCCGGGACGACTTGACGGACCGACTTACCTCAATTTTCTTCAACAACAGTTGCCTTTGCTGCTTGATGATGTTCCGTTAGTAATAAGAAACAATATGTGGTACATGCATGTGGTGCACCAGCGCATTTCAGTATAGCGGTCGTAATTATTTACAAACTGTTTATCCAAATCGTTGGATTGGCCGCGGTGGGCCCCAAGAATGGCCACCAAGGTCCCCAGACCTCAACAGTTTAGATTTCTTTTTGTGGGGCTATCTTAAGACACTAGTGTACACAAGTCTCATTAACACTGTAGAGGAATTAAGAGAAAGAATAGTTGCAGCTTGTGATAGAATAAAAAACACTCCAGGGATATTTCAACGAGTGCGCAATTCCATGAGAAGGAGGGCGGAAGTATGCATACTAAGTGAAGGTGACCAAGTATTTTGGGAAAACTTTTTATTCGACAACAAAGAATACGAAAACGTGTTTTTTGGGATTCAATCTAAATAATTGGCAGGGAAGTATTTATGAGACCTACAAAATGAGACCACACGTAAAAAGACGCGACTAAT